GCTGAATTTGCAGCATCAAGTTGAATACCTTTAAAAGGATATTAAGGAGTGGACAAAGATCTTTTCTCAAGGCATCAAGAATGCCAAGAAGAAAGCGGTCAATGAATATATCGCCTCATCGCGCTTTGATGACCTGATGGTGGGCTCGTACAGAAAGGGCTTTAAACTAAACCGGTGGATGATCCAGAATACGTACCCCATACTCGATATTAGCGTCATAACCACTTCGCGCATTACTAAGGAGATGGCCAACGCTGCAGACGGTGAACCGGACTTTAAAGATGAAGCAAGACCTTCAGGTATCGTTGAAATGTCTTCTGATGGTGAAGAAGTACCTCTCGAGATATATATATATATATATATATATATTTCAAAATGTACATTCTCTGGTAACAACTTAGTCCACTTCGCTTGATAATCTATAGATAGTATCGTCTCAGGTTAACGACGTTTCGGGGTTAGTAATCTATAAATAGTATTGTCTCAAGTTAACGATACTTGTTTGCCCTCTAAAGTTTGGAGGGCGTATGCCCCCATCGCTCGTATCACTAATACACCTATCTACTTAGTTTTGTTTTTGTAACGATTTATCTTTTTAATATACCTTTTTTTATTTATTTATCATAAAAAATATAAGATTTAAAAAGAAAGAATTAAATGAAATACTGCATCTGCATCTTCATTTGTACTAGTGAAAATGAGAAAAATCGATTCAGGTTTCAATTTACTTTATTTCATTTGCACTTGCAGGTAAAATGTGAAAAAGAAAAGAAAAGAATTTACGCTTACATGCTTACAAATCAATTTACTTTATTTCGTCCACCGTTGATTCGTCCCATAATCCATAGCCAAGATCCAAGAAGAAAAAGGGAATGGATTACTTCTTTCAAATATAAAAAACTATACATTATTTATTCATTCAAAGTATCCATGATTTTGGAATATGTATAGAACTAAAAAACATAAGCTACCGAGCTTTCATAAATTACTAAAACTGAGCTTGCGCTACTAATATAAGCTCGATCAACAACCTGCTTGTTGTGCTTACATAGTGACAAAATTGACAATTGAAGTAGCTCATGCTACTGTCAAAACATTGTCCCTAGAACCTAATTCCCAAACTTAATGGGCCGCAGTCAAGCCCAACCCAATTTTTATACGTTTGAACCCGACTCCCACTAGCATGCCCCAGATACTGAATTCACCAATTCAGCTATTCTATTGGGCTTATTGAGCTCAATCTTGTCCGGGACTCCGGGTCTTTTCTTCAGTTGGGGTTATCAGAGACTCTGAATCTGAGTTCCTTCAAATAGTACAAAGGGTCATATATCGTGTGGTGATTCTCAGGTCTTCATATCATATCTACATCATCATCAGAAGTTGAATCTCCCTCTTCCTAATATTTAAGGGTCCCACAATATATGTATCATGTTAGAAAGTTGCAAATAAAATTGTACATTTTTACTAAAAAGAAAACAAAAGGTTCGACAGACAGTCTGCACGATGGATTGGCCTGTTGCTTGATTTCCTCTGCAGAAGCATACAAAAGAGACCATATCCATCCATAAATTAAAAGAGGTATGTGCACTTGTGCAGTGAGGCCGAGGACACGCTACACTACAAAGTACAAATTGTTTACTATATATCATGAACATCATGTGGGAGAGTGGGAGTGGGACTGTTCAGTAACTTGCTTCTGCACAAATTTCATGCAGAAGTTGCAATCCAGTTTTACATGAAGCAGAACCACCTAAAAGGCTGAAACTAACCCAATATGATATCGTGGCCTAAATTAAGAACCTGCTAACCTTTCTGTATTTAAAGGTCCATGTATGAGTTCTTATTATTTGGGTCAGACCCAACAAGGGAAGAAGATAGAAGATAGAAAGAGATAATTGATCTAGGAAACTTTATTTGAGATTTAAGCAATTGTCTAGAAACAACAAACTAAGTTTTCTCAAATACCGAAGTCGTTGCTTCTTCTTCCTCTTTCATCAATGTGTAGAATTGGGGTCGTTTTTGTGGTCTAATTCAAGAGGCGGATTGTGGTGGTCCATAGGAAGCTTTATACGCCCAAGCGAACCAGCAGGAACAAGCTTCAGATTCTCGCAGTTGCATATCTCGATCATGAATCCATCTGGGTCATTAAAGAACAACTGATCAATGCTCGTGTTATCTTTATCTTCTACTGTTCGCTTTATATATTTTATGTTCATATCTTTAAGCTTCTGCTCCATGGCATCCATGTCTTCACACTGCAAGATGAAGAGAACTGTTAAAAACATGTTTTAGTCTTCTGATCGATACCCATCTCTCTCTCTCTCTCTCAAATCAATATCTACAGGACCTGAAACGAGACATGATTGTCCATGGGGTCGAGGTGGTCAGTAGAATCAGGCAACCCGTCCTCATCTTTCGCTTGTATCAAGTGAATCCCAACGCCATAATTGAACAACCTGTACAAGGCACAGCATTAACAAAACACCCAGAAGAAAGAGAGCTCGAGATCCCAAACGCCATGTCGATGAGCACCTACTTACCAAGCACCGTCGAAATCAAAGGCTGGTGGACGTTCAATCAACACGAACCCAAGAACCTTCACGTAGAAATCCACCGAATCCTTGACAGACCTGCAGAGCCTTGATAAGTGATTAATCGCCATGAGAGGCAATGGATGCTCCTCTGACTTATCTTCCACTTCTTCCTCTCTCTTCCCTACCATCTGCGCCATGTCTGTGTACCACCTGAAATCTCCAGGCTAAGCCGGGGTAAAGCTAGATTGGTTAAAAAGATGATAACAAAAGTTGATACTAGTGAGTAGTAACCGTGTTGTCGAGACAAATTGACACGTTCTATGTGCATGGTTACACTGTAACTCTTGGGCTTGAGAATCAATTGACACGGTTGCGACGTTCGCACACGTTGGTACCTCAGCAGTCGACACGATTGCTCTTCTCACAGGCGGTGGCACTGTGGCAGCGCTTCAACTTCAAGAGTTGACCTAACCAGGTTCATTCCTCATAATGAGTTGAGTTCATTTTGGGCCAAAGATAATCTCTGGCCCACTTTAAGATCTAGGCCCAATGGAAGATGGGCTTACTCTGAATGCAGTTCCCAGTTTCGGACCAGGTTGAACTTGTGTTCTAGGCGCCATGGCTCGGGCTAGGTTGCTTCTTGATGGGTCCAACGTTCTCTGTACCCCGTCAGGCCCATGGAGCAAAAATGTATTGGACATGTATTGTGCATACCCTGCACTAAACCAACAAGATTTGAATGTAGACAGCAGACAGGATTGTCTGGTTTGGATTCTCAGAGGACTTCATCTCAATTAATGTGTAAGATATGGATAATCAGATGTCACCTTCAGCTGCAATAGGTTTCCCAACCTTCCACTTTCCGCCCAATTTTGTTGATAGCTGCACCTAGCAAGCTCAAACTAAGGTTTATAATTTTACCGGAATTTCATTCTAGTAGAGTAAATTAAAATCCCCATATATCAGTTAAAAAAACTACTAGATGGGATTTTGACATTTCACTAAAATTTCAGCTTATTTTTGGTAAATATATTGGATTGTAATTAATAAAATGATTAAAACAAGAACAATAAACAACAATATATTAAGCATCTTTTAAAGTGTTTGTTTTTTTCAGAAAAATGAATTATTTATGTATATACATGTACATGTGTATATTCATATGGTCCCCAAATTTTATTTTCGGTGGAGGGGTGGTAAGCATTTTATTTTATTCAAATAAGAAATATGAAGCATGTAATACAGGTGAAAGATCCATGGCCTTGCTCTACATAACTCAAAAAAACTTTGCTTCCAATCCAAGAGAGGAAAATGTTTCCCTTTATGTGGACTTGCATCTATAACTTACAAAAAATCCAAAATAGTAATAATAATAATAACATAAAAAATATACAATAATATGATTCATGAAGATATCCCTTTTCTATGATAAGCAGACAGACCCATATGGTCCCTCAATTTTAGGCAGTTACTTTATGCATTCAATGGTTGCATAGGCAACAGAGAATCAGAGATCTATGTCATACAAGAATGCTTCATTGGAAGGTATCTTGCAGTCGATAAAGGCTAAACTTCTTTTTGCCAAGTCACACTTTCATTTTTGTGAAGCTTCTCAGCAGAGCAGATCATGTGCCAAAAGAAAACAGTATTAGATCCTTTCTCTTTTTTTCCTTCTTCTCAGGCTTTAATAGCTGGCATTGCAAGATGAAAAGACCGTTTTATGGTGGCCCACCAAGCTAACATGGATAGAAAGTGCATTTGGGCATCTATCTTACAAGGGGCCCATTGGGTTTAAGCTGGTCCATATTGCTCAGTGTATAGTGAGTGCATTGTCATTGTAAACACAGCTTTCTTTTAAACCAGAAAAGCCATAAAAAAATTGGCTCTATGTTGCTGAAATTTTGCCTCATAGAGAAGGATGACAAAAGTAGACACCACCACTCTACATGCAACTCACATGCAATGGACATCGGAGTAGCAATAGGATAATTGGTTTGCTTTCTTTGCAACAAGCACTACCTCTTGTCTGACTTGAAGTTTGTGCTCCCCCAAAAAGAAAAAAAAGACAATTTTGGCTCTCCCCATGCTCATCACTATATAAACAACATTAGGGGTGCAAATGGCTTCGGATCGGATTCCAATCACCCCTATCCGATCCGATACATATATTTGTTATTTATTTATTTATAAATTTGTTATATTATTTATTTTTTTCTATAAAAAACATGTATATATATGATGAAACTAATTAAAAATACTTGTATTTTTTGTTTTTACTTTATTTAAATTATTAGTATATTTTATTTTTTTTTATTTTAATAATTTATTAAGTTTTAAATAAAACAAGTTAGATCAGATCAGATATGAAGATCCAACTTAACGATAGGATTCGAATTCAAATTAAGTCCTGCATGAACATTGTCGGATCAAATTCGAATATACCATGATCTGAATCCGGTCCGATCCATTTGCATCCCTAAACAACATGAATATACTCTTTCATCATATGCTTGGGTCTCATCTTATGTTAATTTGCAGGCTAGCTCGTGCTCCCCTTCAAAACAAGATCAATACAATAATAACTATTAAATAAACCTTATATAAATACAGAGAACTGGGGCAAGTTGCTTGAGGGGTTAATCTTAATCCAAGTACAAACCCAACTTGATTCATGTTGACAATTTTTAATCCTAACCCTAATAATGTAAGAACAACCCTATTTTTATATAGGTTGGGTTGGTTTCCAGATTGCAGGGATGGAGATAGAGCAGAGTGAACGTGAAGTCCACTGGCCATACCAGTATAGGGATGTAATTAAATGGATTGGATTCGGCTGATGGTTGAAATTTTAAATTCTAATTTGTTATTAGTGATATTAAATGAATTCAGGTTTAATACAATTCTACTCTATTGTCATTAAAATACAGAAAAAAAATTAAAAAACTGATTATTTTTAACTTATATAAATATAGAATATTGTATCACATATAATCGGACTCCAAGTTTTATTAGACCGAGTGGGGTCAAATCCTCGTTAAATTTGATTACTAAATGGACGTGGGTTCTAACATACAGAAAATGGGTTCTATGTTGCTGAAATTTTGCCTCATAGAGAAGGATGGAATAAACACACTACCACTTCACATGCGATGTACACGTTGGAGTAGCAAGAGGATAATTGACTTGCTTTCTTTATAACAAGCACGACCTCCTGTACTGACAACAAGTTTGTGCTCCCCCAAAACAATAACAAGTTTGACTCTCCCCATCATATATTTATTAGCCTCATCTTATGTTCATTTTCAGTCTAGCTCGTCAAGTGCTGCTCCCCTTTGAGTTCAAAACAAAATCCATACTACTAAACAAAATATAAATACAATTTACAAATAATTGGATGAAGTTTGGTTGAGGGAACAGTCTTAATCGAAGTACCCAACTTGAATTAATACTTGTTTTAAGTTGACGACAGTTTTCAACGCTAACCTTTTTTTTTTTTGATAAGCCCGAAGCCAATTTCATTGATTTAAATCTTTCAACAGTACAGGCGTAAGAAATGGCGGAGAAACAGACCAGGTATTTGGTCTGGAAATAGTACAAGCATGTTTTGTCAAACAGTGAGCAACAGAATTACCCGTACGATGAATGAAGGAGATATGGAACTGATCAAACTCAAGCAGCAAAATGCTCAGCAATCGGCCAAAACATGATGTAGAGATCGGTCCAACAGGAACTTAGCATTTTGCTGAGCATCTCCTTCAACACAGATCAACCTAATTCCTTCGTCAACAAGCCTTCCCTAACTGCCAAAGCTTCCAGAACTTCTGGGTGATTACGAGCCACATTAACAGCCCGACCCAAGAAAAATTCTCCTTTATGATTTTGAAAGACAACACCAAGGCCGGATTGAAACTCTTTGGAAGCCCCATCAAAATTAATTTTAATCTGGGATGTCGAAGGAGGCATCCAGGAGATGGGAAGATTTGAGGCCGGACCCGCAATCACGTGATTAGCAGCTTCCTCTAGCTTGGCAAGTTCAGCATACTGGGCCGACGCCCGAGTGATAATACTTTCAGGAATAAAAGGATCCCCACTTACAAGGGACTTGCATATGGCCTTCCAAGCATTCCACATTAAGATGGCCCCAAATCTAAACATGGCTTTGTCATTATTTTTCCACAGCAACAACAACCACTCATCCAACCCCCTGACTAGCCCAAAGTCCATTTTTGAGCCCAAAACAGAACCAAACCACACTGGCATGGTGGGACAAAGAAGAAAACGATGATTTATTGTCTCCGGCCCCAAACCACATAGAAAACATATCTCGTCCAATTTAGGAGCATGTCTAGCCATGGCAGCACTGGTTGGTAAACAATGGTTCAAACATCTCTAAAGAAAGATGAAAACTCGAGGAGGTAACTTACTACAACTCCAAAACTCTTTCCAAGAGACATCGGGGAAAGCCCATCCACTATTAGAGGAACACGCCTCCTCACCACATAAAAAGCGATATGCTGATGAACAAGTGAGATGGCCTTTAGGAGAGTGTGTCCATCACAAGCGAAATCTGGGTTCAATGATAGGGGAGTACGAAATATAGTTTCCATGGTATCAGCATAAAAAAAGAGCATGAATCTTAGAAGAGCACGAGCGGCCAGTGGATGGATCAATGAGTTCAGCAACCCTTTTCACCCCCAAGGTCCAAACAGATTGTGCATGAGGTGAGATGGGCCTGTCAAGCCAAGGATCTTCAAAAATTCTGACACTCCAACCATCCCCAATCAGAATT